AAAAAAAAAAAAAAATAGGCTCAGCGCCCGTAGCTCACTGGTTAGGGCGCTGGCCACATGCACCGGGGTTGGTGGGTTCAAACTCGGCCCAGGCCTGCTAAACAATGATGACAACAACAACAAAGAGCCAGGTGTTGTGATGAGCGCCTGTATTCCCAGCTACTTAGGAGGCTGAGGCAAGAGAATCATTTAAGCCCAAGAGTTTGAGGTTGCTGTGAGCTGTGATGCCACTGCACTCTACGAAGAACGTCATAGTGAGGCTCTGTCTCAAAAAAAAAAAAATAAAAATAAAAATAAATAAATTTTAATAGGAGGGGACATTTCTAAAATCAGTTTGTCTCACCAGACTACTATACCAGCCAATTGAAAAACCTATCAAAATAAGGTTGGAGGGCAGCACCTGTGGCTCAGTGAGTAGGGCACTGGCCCCATATATGGAGGGTGGTGGGTTCAAACCCAGCTCTGGCCAAACTGCAACAACAACAACAAAAAATAGCCAGGCATTGTGGTGGGTGCCTGTACTCACAGCTGCTCAGGAGGCTGAGGAAAGAGAATCACCTAAGCCCAAGGGCTGGAGGTTGCTGTGAGCTGTGACACCACAGCACTCTACCAAGGGCAACGGAGTGAGACTCTGTCTATAAAATAAATAAATAAGGTTTGGAAAGTAAAGCTGCTAATCTTCAATTTTTTACTTTGACGGTAGATGACAGTACCGATGCTACAAATATGGTCAGCTTGCGATTTTTCTTAAGAGGTATTTATGACAATTACAATGTCATGAAGAAATGGCTTCTCTATTGCCACTAAAAGACACAACTAAATCAAGAGATGGTACCCCATCAATGTAGATAAAAGAGAGGGACTTGTAAAATTAATATAAGACGATGCAATTGCTGCCTCAAATTCACATTTGATGAAGTGTCACTTCATAGCACATCAAGAAAATTTATGTATAAAACCTTTAAAAATGGATAATGTCATATAAATCTTCATTAAGACTGTGAATTTCATGAGGGCCAACGGATTGAATCCTCCCCCCTTCCAGGAATTCTTAAAGTCTGATGCTGACCATAGCCACATCATAGGAGGTAAAATGGCTAAATAGAGGCCAAATGTTGAAAAGATTTTATGAGTTGCAAAATGTTATTGAGTTGTACTTTTATTGTATCAAAACCAAAATTTGTGCCAGAATGTGATGATGAAAACTGGCTTACAGATTTAGCATTTTTAATAGATTTAACCACTCATTGAAATGAGTTAAAGATGCATCTTTTAGGTGAAAATCCCACTTATAAATACATTTTAAATTTTAACCATGTTCCAAATGAAACTGAAATTACGGCAAACTTAAATTAAGACAAACAATTTTATGAATTTCAACATGTTAAACACAGTCCTGTGAACCGTTAAAAGTATGCAGCCTTACTTTTCAAATTGATACAAGAGATTTCTGGCAAAATAATATTTTGGTGCACTTCCAACTCCGTTTGCAGTTAACAAATGTTACCTGCCCATTTCGAAAGGGAATGGATAGAGCTACAATATGCACTCAACTTAAAGAAAACATGATCATGTCTGTTTACCAGACTTATTGGTAAGAAAACATGATCATGTCTGTTTACCAGACTTACTGGTCTCACCTTCCCAGAGACGAGTATCTCTGTGTTCACAATCACACCTTATTCATGTCACCACTTTCTGGTAGCATGTACATTCACGAGCAACTAAAATGAAGTATCACTGTATAGTACATCAAAAAAATTATTCTTAAGAGTAAAACCAGACTAAGGTGCCAGCCACATACACCTAAGGTGGCGGGTTTGAATCCAGCCCGGTCTGCCAAACGACAATGATGGCCACAATCAAAAAATAGCCAGGCGTTGTGGCGGGCACCTGTGGTCCAGCTACTTGGGAGGCTGAGACAGTAGACTCGCCTGAGCCCAGGAGTTGGAGGTTGCTGTGAGCTGTGATGACACAGCACTCTACCCAGGGGGACAGCTTGAGACGCTGTCAAAAAAAAAAAAAAGAGTAAAACCAGAACCAAAATATCTGATGAGCACCTTGAGAACTCACTGAGAATTGCAACTACTTCCATCAAACCAGATATTGATACATTAGTTTCTCAAATACCATGTCAAATATCTGACTAGTTTCATGTTGTCCACTTTTGACTTTTACAATAAAAAATATCAAAAAGACATTTTATTACTAAGATATGTACACTTCTGTATCGGTAAACTTGAGACCTGCTTGATGATTTTTAAAACTGTCTCAACAGGCTGCTGGGTAATCAGGATTATTGAATGCAGACCTTTTTGCTTATCTTTGGTGTCAGGTATCATGACAATTATGCAGACTATTTTTTTTGCTAGTTAGTGTTTCAGTATTTAGCATGTGGCCCTAGACGACTTTTCCAATGTGGCCCAGAGAATCTAAAAGATTGGACATCTCTGGGTGATATAGTAAAGTCTTCTGAATAGTGCCCAAATAATGAAAATCTGCATAGATAATAGAAATTTGCTCATGCATAATAATAAACATTTGCTTTATAGTCAGAGCTTCTAACAATACTCAGTAGAACTTCCATAGTTGACTACCTCCCTGTATCAACCACTTCAACTTGACCCAGTTTTTACAGCCTGTACGTGCAACGTAGGTATGTATCAGTGCAGTAGGCCTCGTCCCTTATGGTGACCACCTCTGTATATTGACCACTTTGTTACAGTCTCTTGCGTGGTCAACTTACAGAGGGGTCTATTGTATAAAGTCTTCTTCCTGTATACGCTTCATCTGTTTAAAAAAAATCCAAGGTTATTTAAGTTTTACTGGTAATTGTACTTATAATCGAAATCAATTTCCAAAGTATAAATTTATAAAAATACTTTATTTTAAAGACTCTCTACAGGACTTCAACATCTTATTTCCAGACTATACCAAGAAAACCAATATATTTTAATCCATGATGAACCTGGTTCCATGCACATTATTATACATATTATTTAACTGAGTAGGGGTGGGGGAAGGCATGGATCCAAAATTTTAATTAAATACTACATGATTGGATTTTCTTCCAAGAATCTGAGCTAAAATTTTCATATGAATACAACTTACAACTGAAGATATCATTTAGTACTTTACAGAGTTTTTAAAAATCTAGTTCCATAATCACTTTATTTTCTTTAAAATAAAATCCTTAGCATATAATATGAAAAGTCCACACTTTTCTGGAAATGCATATATATACCTAATAGTAAGGTCCAAAATGAGAAGAATGACTGTCTCCAGAAGAGGATGGAGGTGGCAGCGGGGGAGGGGGTGGCGGTGGAGGCAGAGAGTATTCTAAGTTGACTGATGGATGAGCTGCCACAGCTGCTGCAGCCCAACTCATGTTTACAGATGGGGATGGGGGTGGGGGTGGGTGATGCAGTGAAAAATTATACATGTCAAACACTGGGGGTGGGGGTGGGTGATTCAGTGAAAAATTATACATGTCAAACATCGGAGGAGGAAACGGGTACTGTGGCATAATAGGATTATCTTGTCTCTGAGGCTTAAATCCTGAAGTCCCCTGAGACACCGTATGTTCTGAATTGTAAAATGGAGATACTATATGTTCTGAGTTACAAAATTGCTGAGATGGAGGCCTGCCATGGCGAGGATATCCACCCCTGGAAAAGCCTCGTGTGAATTTTCTGTTGTGGTATCCTTTGTAATGCTCTGAAGCAGAGCCATGAGCATTCCAATTCTGATGTACTTCAGCAAAATCTTCACCTTAGAATGGGGGGGGGGGAACATAAAAACAAAAATAAGGTCAATACATCAAAAAGTATTATTTGAAATTCCAATAATGCCACTTCTTTAAAGTCCAGTGCTATTTTATGATAGTTATATAACAATTTTAAATGCATTGAAAAGGTAAAATGTAAAGCCAAAGGATCAGAAAACAGAAGGCCCCCTTACACAACAACCACTCTACTGCACCTGAATACCACACATACATCCGTGGTACCATCACTGAGTACCACGGTACCATCACTGGGTACCCAGCCTTGGAGCCTAGATAGGCAGTAATGAAATACCAAAACCCAGGGTAGTAGTGTCAAGAGCAGGTTAAGCAGGGCACCACAACAAGGCTCCCCGCAGCGACAGTGGAGATCACATGGAAACTTAGAATATCACCGCCCCTGGCAGCAGTACCATTCTACTTCCCCCCTTGAGCACTGAGGTGGTATCAGAGAAGACTGAATGGAATCAGGATTTTCATTACTGCCCACTGGTGAGAAGGCCATCACCCTCCATTAGCGTCAGTGGACACTGTGTGGACAGCAGTGACAAGATACTCGTATCCCTGGCCAGGCACTAGAAATGACCTCATGGGAAGTCAGAAAACTACCCTCAGCCAGTAGAAATAAGGCAACTCTTAGCCTTGGGTGTTAACAGAGGCTAAGAAGAAAACCCAGACTTTAATCCGCACTCTCCTTCTTTTCCTAGCAAAAGTGGTATTTAAAACAAACAGAACAAAAAATGAAAAAGCTTGGGCAGCACCTGTGGCTCAGTGAGTAGGGCGCTGGCCCCATATACCAAGAGTGGTGAGTTCAAACACAGCCCTGGCCAAACTGCAACAAAAAAATAGCCAGTTGTTGTGGCAGGCGCCTCTGGTCCCAGCTACTCAGGAGGCTGAGGCAAGAGAATAGCATAAGCCCAGGAGTTGGACGTTGCTGTGAGCTGTGATGCCACAGCACTCTACCAAGGGTGATAAAGTAAGAAAGCTGCAACAGAAGAATTTACATTAAGATTCACAGTCTTGTAACATAATCCCCAATATATCTAGTTATCAATTAAAAATCACTCCTCTTAAAGAGGACCAGGGAGATTTCAAACTCAGTGAAAAAGAAAAATCAACAGAGGTTACACAAAGATGTTAGAAATAGGAAAAAAAAAATTAAAGCAGCCATAAAAACGATTTGACAAGAGATTATGAACATGCTAAAAATATTAAAAATAGAAAAGTCTTACCAAAAAAAAGACATAAAAGAAATAAAAATTAAGAATTTTAGGACTTAATATTAATCAAAATTTAAAACTCAATGGAAAATGCAGAGTTATAAAACTCCTAGGAGATGACAAAGGAAAAAAATTTAGATGACCACGGGTTGATGACGACATTTTAGATAAGGCATGATATATGCACGGAAGAATAGATGTAAGGATGGTAAATACGTATGAAAAGATATTTTACCTCATAGTCATTAGGGTAATGCAAATTAAAACAATGAGTTATCCCTACATACCTATTAGAATTGCCAACATCCCAAACACAACACGAGACCCTGCTGAGGAGGAGCCAAAGGAACTCTCATCTGTCGCTGGCAGGAATGCAAAAGGGCACAGCCACTTTGGAAGACAGTCTGGCAGTCTCTTAAAGCTCATCTTACTCTTACCATGAGATAGAGCAGTCTTGCTCTTTGATATTTACCAAAATGAGTTGAAAACATGTTCAAACAAAAACCTGCACATGGATGGTCTTATCAAATTTATTCATAACTGCCAAAACCTGAAAGCAGTCAAGATGCCCTGGAGTAGGTGAATGGATAAACTGTGGTACAACCAGACAATGGAATAACATCAAGTGCCAAAAAGAAATGAGCCTTCCAGTCATGAAAACACATGAAGAAACTTTAAATGCATAGAACTAATGGTAATATAGATGGGAAGATGAGTGGGAAAAACAGAGAGCTGATTTTTAGGGCAGTGAAACTACTCTGTATAACATTATAATGGTAGACACACGCCATACACATTTGTCCAGATTCATAAAATGTACAAAACAAAGAGTGAACACTAAAGTGAATAACGGATTTTGGGTGACTATGACATGTCAGTGTAAGTTTATCAATTGTAACAAATCTATCACTCTAGTAAGGGATGCTGAAAATAGGAGAGGAATTTATGCATTTATGGGGAAAAGAGTATAAGGTTTATCTACCTTCCTCTTAATTTTGTTGTAAGCTTAAACATGCTTAAAGAAAAGTCTTTAAAAAGAAAAAACAAACTCTCAATGAAGGGCTCAACAGAATGAAGAGCACAGAGGAGAAAAACCAGGGAACTAGAAGACTGAACCAAAGAAAATAACTGGAAAAAATACCCAGAAAAAATAAACTGGAAAAAAACGTTCAGGACTTCCATCCTAACTACAAAATACTGCTAAAAGCAATTAAAGATCTAAATAAAGATGTAAGTGATGCTCATGGAATGTATGGCTAAAAACATTTGTCAATTCTCTCCAAATTAATATAAAGGTTATCATAATTCTTATCAAAATCCCAGCAAGATGGCTCGATACCCATAGCCCAGTGGTTACACCAAGGTTGCCAGGTTTGAGGCTGGCCCAGGCCAGCTAAACAATGACAACTGCAACAAAAAATAGCCAGGCCTTGGGGGGCACCTTTAGTCCCAGCTACTTGAGAGGCTAAGGGAAGAGAATCACTTAAGCCCAAGGGTTTGAGGTTGCTGTGAGCTGTGATACCACAACACTCTACTGAGGGTAACAGAGTGAGACTGTCTCACAAAAAAAAAAGAAAAAAGAAAAAAAATCCCAGCAAGAATTTTTGTCAACATAAGGACGATTGTAAAACTTGTATCAAAAGGCAATAGATTATTTTGAAAAACAGAATCAAGTAGGAGGTATCACTCTAGCCAATTTCAATACTTAATATACAGTCATAATAATCAAGACTGTTGGTACAGATACATAGATCAATGAAACAGAATACAGAACACAAAAATAACACAAATAGAGCCACCTGATTTTCCTTAAAGGTTAAAAAGAAATTCACTGCAAGAACTATAGTTTCCCCACAAATGGACAGAAACAAGATATTCATTAGCAAAAGAATAAACACTAACCTAAACCTCACACCCTACAAGCATACAAGCTTAACTCAAAATAAATTATGAATGTGAAATGTATAACAGAAGACAATGAAATTTTTAGGAAAAAAATAGGGTAAAATCTTTCTAGGGCTAAGCAAGAAGTTCTCAGAATCCATTAAAAAAATTGGTAATTTGAACTTTCTCAAGACAAGATACAGACTTATGTACTAACCACATATTTGACAGAAAACTAGTATCTAAAATATATTTTTAAAAATTCTCCTATAGCCGGGCATTGTGGCAGGTGCCTGTAGTCCCAGCTACTCGGGAGGTTGAGGCAAGAGGAATCACCTAAGCCCAAGAACTAGAGGTTGTGATGAGCTGTGACGCCACGGCACCCTACCAAGGGTGACAAAGTGAGACTCTGTCTCTTAAAAAAAAAAAGAAAGAAAAAATAACTCAACAGTAAAAAAGAGAGAAATAATGAACAGATATATCACAAAGAGGATGTATAGCAAGTGGAAAGTAGACATTAGGAAAATTCAAACTAAAATGGTATAGTCACACTGAAAAAGTATAGCAATTCTTTTTTTTTTTTTTTTTTTTTTGAAAAAGAGTCTCACTCTGTTACCCTGTATAGAGTGCTATGGCATTACTAGTTCATAGTAATCTCCATCTCTTGGCCCCAGGCAATCCTCTTGCCTCAGCCTCCCAAGCAGCTGGAACTATAGGTACCTGCCACAATACCCAGCTAGTTTTTCTATTTTTAGTAGAGACAGGGTCTTGCTTTTGCTCAGGCTGGTCTCCAACTCATACAACCAAGCCATTGCTCTCTTGGATATTTATGAAAGAGAAAATTTGTTTTCACATGAAAACCCACACACAAAGTCTAGGCACAGTGGCTCACTCCTGTAATCCCACCACTTTGGGAGGCTGAGGTGGGTGGAATGCCTGAGCTCACGAGCTCGAGACCAGCCTGAGCTAGAGCAACACTCCATCTCTAAAAATAGCTCGGCTTTGTGGTGGGCACCTATAGTCCTAGTTACTTGGGAGGCTGAGGCAAGAGAATCACTTGAGGGAGAGTTTGAGGTTGATGGAAGCTACAATGCCAGCAGGGCAACAAAGTGTAACTCTGTCTCAAAAAAAAAAAAGTATACAAGTATTTACAGCAGCTTTATTCCTAATAACTCTTGAATGGAAACAACCAGATGTCCTTCAATGGATGAATGGATGAGTAACCTGTGGTAAATTCATACCATAAAAATACTACTCTGGAATAAAAAGAAATTACTGATAACATGCAACAATCTGGATGGATCTCTAGAAAATTACACTCAGTGGCAAAAGCTAATCTCTAATGGTAACTTATTATATAACTTCATTTATATAACTTATTAAAATGACAAAATATGTTAAAGAAATGGGGAACAGATGAATGATTGCTATGATGTGAGAGGGGGAAGAAGTGGGGAGGTGCTATGAGTATAAAAAGCAACATGAAGGAGGTCTCTGGTGACAGAACTGTTGGGTATCTTACTTGTAGGAAGCTAATACCCCAAAGGAGACACTGTACTACAAAGTGGTTTAAGATGTTGCAAGTGAGGGAAACTGGGTAAAGTACATACAGTATCTCTCCTATTATTTCTTACAACTATGTAAGAACTTACAATTATCTGAAATAAAAAAGGGAATCCATATTTTAAAAAAATACTGTGACTGAGGTGTTAATTATCCTATCACTAAATTCTAAAAATGGCAGCAAATAGGTTTCTTAAGGAAAATGTGCTGAGAAGCTTTAACTGACTCTAACAAGGCTTAGTGTGGCTGTTACCCAGGAAGCCACTTTTACACCCTTACGCTCATAAAACTACCACTGAATGTTCCTTGTGACTCTCTCCCAGCACATCCCATGCTGTGTAATGCCTCTGATGCCAGGAGGTGAACACAGAGAACCACATTTCCTTCAGGTTTATTACTGATAAACTTATATAGATGTAAGTGAAGATAAAGAATAACTTTATATATTGCATTTACTTACTTGACTCATTCAATTCAGATTTGAGTTTTTTCCGGCCTTGAGTCTGAGACTTTTTCTTCTGTTTGGCTGCTTCCTCCTTTTCATCATCACTAAAATCTAAGGCCTTGCAGAGAAAAGCATATACAATTACGTTATATAGGTTTGCCAATTTCATAGTAGTACATACTTTCAGGTGAGGAGAATAAGCCTATTATTTAACCACTGACCCTGAATAAAAGTTGCCTGTTTGAATACTTAATATTTTCTGTATCTGAATTAATTGGACATGATAAAAAATCAAAGCACTTTTGATAAATGCCTAAAGACTCTTAATTAACACACATCCATAATCAGATGAGTAGTCAAGGTTTTTGGCTTTTGTTATTTTAACTCCTAGAAAGTCTCATAAAACTTTAAAATGCCAATCTTGAACAATTTTCAGATATGGTATTCCCTGAGCAGAAGTCTGACTTCCAGCTTAGACTTAAGATTCTTCATAGCATCACCTGCCAAAGGAAGGAACAGTAAAAACTGAGAAAATTATATACGTTATCAGATCATATAAAAATGGAATGTTCTACAATTCATTCATTCAAAATGTACACATACTGATTATATGCCAGGTACTGTTCTAAATACTTCACAGATTTCATTTTTTACAGATTTAAATATTAATTCTTTTAATGTATTTTAAGCATATCATTAAGGGCTATAAATAAATAAAGCCATGTAAAGGCATAGAAAGTCATGGGGAAGCTATTTAGATAGAATATAGGAAAAGGCTTTTATAAGCAGATATATGCATGACCCAACTTTTAATAGGAAATTATTTAAAATTACAAGTAGGCCGGACAGAATGGTTCATGTCTATAATCCCAGCATTCTGGGAGGCTGAGGCAGGTAGATTGCCTGAGCTCACAGGTTTGAGACCAGCCTGAGTCAGGGTGAGAGACCTCATCTCTAAAAATAGCCAGGCATTGTGGCAGGCTCCTATAGTCCTAGCTACTCTGGAGGCAGAGGCAAGAGAATCACTTATTGAGGTTCCTGTGAGCTGTGACGCCACAGCAATCTATCGAGAGCAACAAAATGAGACTCTGTCTCAAAAAAATAAAATTTAAAAAGAAAAATAAATAAATAAAAATAGCAAGTGGTAAAATTCACACTCAATTAAGATTTAGGATTCACTGTTATAATCCACAAAAACCCCAAGACTTCTGAGCTATTACCATTATATGACTGCCAAGATTTCTTTATAATTCAGATATTATTCTATTAACACTAGAAAACAGATGCTATGTTTCACATAAAAATATATAAACGTGCATCCATGGGTACACATTCAAAAAGAAGACATAAACCGAATATGAAGGTTTGTGGGATATTTTCAGTATGACCTTGCTGAAATACATTCTATCAAATCCTCTACAATTCATATACCTCTGAATCTATAATCAAATTCAAAAACATCAACCAATTTTAGTACCTTCAAATGCATTATTGATTACTGATTTTAACATGGTAAGATCTATGCATGAGAAAATGGATAAACCAACAATATATAGTGAAGCGCTGTGACTGAGTGCTAGGGAAGCATGGTGCTAGATTAAAAAGAATAAAAAGAAAGAAGGTAAAGGTAGACTTTTGGGTAAAAATAACTTAAGATAAATATGTAATGGAGAGTTTCATGAAAATAAGTGAAAGAAAATTTTCAGGTAGTGGGAATGATAATGAAGAGGCATGAAGGAAAGTTAATAAACTTAATGTTGGCAGCACCTGTAGCTCAATGGGTAGGGTACCGGTCACATGCACCAGGGCTGGATTCGAACCCAGCCCCGGTCTGTGAGCATTATGGCAGGCACCTGTAGTCCCAGCTGCTTGGGAGGCTGAGACAAGAGAATCGCTTAAGCCCAAGAGTTTGAAGTTGCTATGATGCCACGGCACTCTACCAAGCAAGGGCGACAAAGTGAGACACTGTCTCAATTTAAAAAATAAAAAAAAAAAGAAAGAAACTTTTTTTTCTCTTTTAAACAACTGGACATCGGCTGGGCATGGGGGACCATCCCTATAATCCCAGCACTGTGGGAGTCTGAAGCAGGAGGATTCCTTAAGCTTGGGAACTGGAGACCAGCCCAGCAAGAGTAAGACCCCATCTCCACTAAAAACAACAAAACTAGCTGGATGTTGTGGCAGGCACCTATACTCCAGAGACAGAGGCAAGAGGATTGCATGAGCCCAAGATATTTGAGGTTGCTGTGAGCTATGATGATGCCATAGCATTCTAGCCTGGGCTAGAGTGAGACTATGTCTCAAAAATAAATAAATAAATAATAAAATAAATAAACTAAGGTTTTTAATTGGTATAGTTTAGAGAGATTACTCTGATAGTATTCTGCTATCACTTTCTAAAATCAGAGAAAAATATTTTATATATAAATTTATTCAGATTTGTACTCATAAAACATTTACTCAAATATAAACTACCTGTTATGTTAAAAATGGATATAAAGATGAATAATATCATTCCTGAGAATTTTTAGGGCCTATATACAAGCCCAATATTTTCACAGCACATAATTTCTCCTATTTTCTCTACAAAAGTGTTCTATTTTCATAGATGTGTGCTTTTTTTAATTTAAAACTCACAAATTCCAAATTCTAATCTAGGATGGATCAACCTAGGTAATACCATGTTTCCCTGAAAATAAGCCCTAGCAGGATTTCTATGCATTTGTTAAATATAAGCCCTACTCTGATAATAAGACCTAGTAATGGTCTTATTACTAGACCATTACTATTAATGGTCTGTAGATATGTATCTACATAATAGCCACGTAGATAATAAGCCCTTACTCCGATAATAAGACCTTATTACTAGGTCTTATTACTAGACCATTACTATTAATGGTCTGTAGATATGTATCTACATAGCCACACCCTGCATTTCCCTGGGGAGCAGTAAGGAAGACTGGAATACCTTTTATCTGCCACAGCTCCTTTCTCCAAGCCATTTGCACTTGCACGGGTGCACCCCATGGCAAACCGCTCGGGGAAAGGAGTTCACATCACTAGCGCCAGCCCCACCAACAAGGTCAGATCCCCGTCAGGCTCCAGAAGATGACTTAACTGTCTTTGAATAAATGTAGATTGTTGTATTATACTTAATAAAAATAAGACATCCCTTGAAAGAAAGCCCTAGTGTCTCTTCTTGAGAAAAAAATAAATATAAGACAGTGTCTTATTTTCAGGGAAACACGGTCGCTATGTTAGCAGGAGAGAGTGAGTCTTAGAGAGTAAAGCAGTCTTAGAATAGATAGATCTTAGTCTTTAGCAGAGCTTAGTGATCGTCAGCAGAGAGATGCCATGCTGGCGTTCTGCAGGCAGGAGAGGAGTCAGAGTAAGCAGGTCAGTGATAGAACGTGCATGCTCCTGACTGCTTTCTCCTCCAGCCTAATTAATATAAGGCTAATGTCGTGCCTCTGAATATCACAGATGTAGAGACTGCCAATTCACCAATGCTCTCATCTCGCGAGCCCTCGTGCTTGTTAGGACAGCTAAATCCCTTTCCATGCCCTTTTCACCAAGGTGTTCCATTATTGAGCTATACAGGTATTTCTTATAACTCTCACTCCTCCTAGCCATAGGCTATACAGGCTGCTACAAGGTCTATCCTAAAATAACAGTGATATATTAGAATATCTGAATTATTTTTTACAACAGATACGTTATAAAATTTTTATGACTCTCCAAACAGTTCAGTTAGATGCTCCAAACATAACTAAGAATGTTAAGTGAATATTTACATCCTTAATGGGAATCACATGGATACATGTCATTAATTAGAAAGCATAATCCCACTTCAATGTGGATACTAAGTTAGGATCCATTCACTGGTTAAGTGACTCCTACCTGCATAAAACTCTCAAAATGGGCATAACTGCGATTCATGCCTCAGCAAAAAATTAGAAACTAATGCAGACCATGATCTTTAGCACTGCTTGAAATATTTAAAACCAAAGTTAAATCTGCAAATATGAAAAGTCTATAATACTGAAAAGCTTTACCAGAATAGCTGAGCACATTTTAAAAACTTATATGTATTTTTCTTTTATACTTTATAAATTCACATCATTTTCAAGAAATGAATACACTCACTGCTGTAACTTTAGCATAATTAACTTTTTGTAAATAAAGGTACATTCCTCTATAATTTTCCCTATGTGTTGAGTTTAGAAGCAACTTTTGGGGCACCTGTACTGTCTTGGTGACATGTACATAGAGAGAAAATCAACAAGTCTCTTTTAGGATGGTAAATATATTATAAAAAATGTAAAAGCAGATAGCTCCTAACAATGTACCTCCAAAAGAAAAGCAACTTTTTATTAAAATCACCATAATAAATGTCTTCATGCTGCATATAAATTTACTAAATTAAACAAAATTATTTAAAATGAGATCTACCTTTATCAGACATGATCAAAGTTGCTAAGAACAGAAAATTATAAGATAAATGATAAGCAAAGTAATTATTAAACTGTAATTAAATATAACATAAAATATTTTTTTTCCTAAAATGATC